TCATTAGGGCCGAAAGGTTGGAGCGAGTTTATCAGGCCATGCTTGTACATGTGTTATATGTGGCCCACTAAATGATCGTTCTTGACGGCAACTAGTCATTCCTCTGTATCATATCTTAAAATCGAGAGCAATGGCTCGATCTCATGTCATCAGGTATGCCGTTATGATTAATAGTGACGCCACTTCTCCTTCTACAGCCGCCTTATCGAATCTTTATCAGCTGATTATAACTTCTCTGTCACCTACCCAAGCCAATTATACTTCCTCTTCGGCACAGGACCGTGACACAGTCAACTGTAGTCTTGAAGTCATTGTCTCAGTGCTACTGGCGGAAGAGCGAGGCACGGCGTTATGATAATTGAGAGGTTTCCTGAACACACAGACAGACAGGACGCACACACCACAGAACATACAACACTCACGACAGACATACTTAACGGATTACAAAATGAGAATGTTAAGGCATATATTATTATTAAATATAATTATTGATTAAACTTATTATTTACAAATAGCGACTTTGAGATGTATTATTAAACATTTATATTATTAATTCAAGTTATTATTATTATTAATTCTCAAACAAATGCGACACTAAGATACGGGATCCACACTAAGAAGAACTTTTTACAATACATCAATCATCTAGTCCTTATTGGTGACCAAATAATTTTTTGAAAAAAGAGTGACGCAGTGCTAAATGGGAATGGTAAAATTTCCGAACCTCGTACAGGAGTTCTGTTTGAGGAGATCATGCCGACAAGTCAGGCTCCCCAGGCGTTCATAAAGACAGTGAAATCTTCGAAGACCTTCGATAGGCACCCAGACAACCTAATCGGCAAGACTAGTGTACTCCTATGGAAGAACGAGCCGTCTGGAAAAGGTTTTTAGATAGGTTCTCCGTGGTTGTGCGTCAGCCCATACATATGAAAAGCTTCCAAGTTCGTGGTGCGCAGTTCCTGTCTTTTATTGGGGAGTGCCTCCATTTCCATTTGCACGCACATAATCGCTTAAAACGGCCTCATGGCAACTTAATGAGGGCAACAGCCCCAGGCGAATAATTAAAAGGGCGAATATGGCTCCACTATTTTACAGGTAACCGTTACGTAATGCCGCTGCCCAACACGATTGCTCCACACCCCACCCCCCCCCCCCGGCCCCCCCGTATTGGGGGAGTGCGCACTAACCCCCCCAAATGGCCCCCTATATCATACCATGGGATAACGTGCCCACCATTGCTTTGACTCGTGGTATGGACTCACCCAGGAAAAGGTCAAGAGGTCAGCTCACATTTGGCAGTGTGGTGCACCAACAATAAGGCCTATTAACCATTTTTCGGTTGATGCGCGCCTGTACTCGCCTCGAGACCGGTTAAACTTCCCGACTATCTCGATTTACCACGGCCGATTACACCACCGGAGGGCCGTGACCAAAGTCTTTTTTTCGTGAGGGTTCTGAGCTTTGAAAATTACCTGGTGGTTTGTCGAAATCCAGCCACTGTCCGGAAGCGTTGCTGTTATCATACTGGCCATTTTCAATCACACGGGACAATTCGGTCCCCAAAAAAACAATGTCATTATCTGCTGGCGCAAAAGCAATGCAGAAGAAACCTCGAGACATGCGATTGCCTGCCGGTTCACCCGATCGTGGGGCTACCTAATTCGAGGTTTTTTTAGCCCTTCCCAATGCGTCCCAGACCATGGCGCAACAGTGATCTTCCAAGCCTAGCTCTTCTGGCTATCTCTCGAACTGTTTGGGGATGGGTCAATGGATCAGCCTCTAAAAACCCCCCTAAAATCCTCGTAAGATATTGCTTTAGGTCGAGCGCTATGAGGTTCATCTTCAAGGCTGCTCCAGAACGAAATTTGTTGAGCCATTGCCGCACAGTGCTTTCTCTAGCACTATTAAGCCCGCACACCTGGTTAATTTGTTGAGCTGTTTCGATTGCGGATTGCCCTAATTTATAGTCAAAGAAAAAAAATTGTCCGAAGTGCTCTTTTCACAAGCTTGAAAAAATCTTGAAAAAAGTGGGTTTGTCAAACAATGGTGAAACGGCAATTATACCATCAGATAGCGCTAGTAATTCTCTACAGATGTGCTACTGAGAAGCAAGGCAGAATGAGTTTTTAATCAGCAGTGAATGTACAAAAAATAGGTGCACAACTCTGAGAACTTTCCGGACAACCTAATACATATGTACTCATGTGTATACATATATTTATTCAACGACAGCTGACAACCAGCATAGCAAAGCGACTGAAGAACATGAAAGAAAGGAGTCAAAGCAAACAAAAAGGAAAAGACGGATTGGAGAGAAAATATGGCACTACTGAACTATTCTTATCCTAGTCTTCTAAAATCAGGCCGGCTTTACCGAATTTTTTTCTAGGAGGACAGGCTGAAATTTTGCTTCCAATGGTAGTTCGACCTCCTAAACACGACTATTAATCCGCTTACCCCGAAACTGCCTGGTCTCTGCTTGCCAAGACACCCTTAAAGACAGCCCCCGCGCTCAAGTAGGACATGGCGTCCTTCAAGTAGTTCAGACCCCAAGCTAGAGACTATCCCCACTCTCACGACTCCACAGCCAGGGAGGAGCCCGCCACAGCTGCTGGAAGTTCTAGTTCTGACGCCCGCCCTATTGGACCGCCCACTTGCCAGATGTCCTCTGACGGGGGCCGCTCAGTTGTTCTTTCATATTCGTGATTGGGATGTGAAATAACCCCCATGTACAAGTTTCAGAGTGAAATAATTAGTGAGGAAAAGTCGCGACTGAAACCTGTTCCGTGTGGCCGCGTGGCACACCATGTGTGTCACGCCAGCCTCGCATCAAAAAAGGCCGCGGGCACACGTGAATGCCACGCGACATAGGAGTCGGTCCGGAACGTGTTAATAACGCACCGATATCGCCAACCGACACTCCAGAACAAAAAGGTGCTAAGGTGTTCGGGGGGGGGGGAAGGGGGGGGGAGGGGATGGAGCAACCGATTGTGGCGAGCGATGACTCATCTGCTCCTCTGCGGAACAGGAGTGATTTCATGTTTAGGACATGAATATACAGCTGCGGAAAAATAAAACTTGGAACAAGCCATAAAATCGCGTTTTAAACAGTTCTGAAGCTATCATTCAACAGCAGTAGAGTAGAAAGGAAAGTAGGTAACGGGAATTCAACAAGAAAAAACAGTTCAGCGCTATGAATTCTGTTTGGTTACCACTGGATTTCATTGGAGCCTATCATCCATGGAATCGACCTCACAGGCGCTTCAGGGGTATCCACGGATATTTGCCTCCGAATTCCCTGAAATGCATGGAACTGCTCTCTCGTGTTGCTGCTCTTCTTCCCTTTGACTGATGCTTCAGCTCCTCTCGGAGTGCCTGATTAGGTGAAGGCTTTTACATGGTGATTTTGTCATCCTGATGCTGACCTTGGGGCCGGAATTTAGACCTCACGTACTTTTGTGTTTGCTTAGGGTAATTTCGACTATTTTTACTAAGTTTCAGTGCATCGGCAGTCATACACTCAACCACCGGTCGTCGTACGTACATTCAATACGAGTCGGCTGCCGGCTGATGTCGGCGTGCCTCTTCTGTGATACGGCCGGCCTTACCGGGCGGGCGTGGCTTCGACTCACCTACCTGCTTTCGTAGGCTTTGAAGACACATGGTACGCTCGAACACATTGAGGGTGTATGAGACTATCAGCCCTCCAGCCGTCTATGTGTCGTGGTCCCCCCGCCCAAACTGCACGGAGTCAGAGTACGGGGCCGTGGGAAAGTCGTAATTCCTCTACACCGCCCATATTGCAAACTCACGTTCTTACTAACACCGTCCGCGCGGCGCGTGTCGCGTGCAGCTCTCTTGGTTTGCCAAGTCCTGTAATTGCGCTTTGGAATACAAGTAAAACGCAATTTCCTGATGCGGATAACATTTTAGGTGCTGCAAAATAAGAACCGAAGATGATGACGAGGGCTAGAACTCAAGAGCAACTGTGGTGCTTCGGCAACATCCCTCAGAGGCCGC